AAGACAAATGGGCTCTGGGAATCTCCAGGGGGAGTATCAGACTTTAAAATGGTGCCCCATAGATCTCACTGCTCTTTTCTCAACCAAGAATCAAAGCCAGACATCCAGGCACCACAGAGAGAATGTTAGAGCGTCACAGTGTCATTATAAATCAACTCCATTCTATAAACATGATTCCTACAACTCCTATGTATTTTCTGATAATGTATGTGAACATGCATGTATCCTCACTCCCTCTTTCCCCAGTATCAGATAGAGCCCTCTGCATCTCAGATACTAACTTGGGTTGTGGGGGTGGTGGTCCGCTGCAGAGGCTGCCTGCACAGGTGGACTGCAGGCAGTCTCCTCTGTGTGATCGCGCAGAGTGCGGTAGGCTCGCTGTCCTGAGTCTAGTCCTCTGCGCTGGGAGACATCTTGGGCATCACCTATCAGGAGTCCGACCACATTTTTTTTTTTTTACGAAGTAGTGAAAAATGAATCAATTCTTATAAATAATGTGATACTTCATATAAACAGTATAAACCAGCTATTTCATTGTAATGATGTTTGGCTTATAATGGATTTTTGGACATTGAGGAACTTATTTATGACCAAAAACACCGAAATTTTATGTCCTATATTTTTCTAACGTGGTAATGTGTGAAACAGTCACCAACATGCATTGCAGGTTTGTTGATACATGTTGTGCAATAGTAATTTTTTTGATGTCCACCTGGTGTTTTTTTTTTTTTTGAGTTGGAGCTCTCACTCTGTCGCCCATACTAGAGTGCAGCGGCCACTCCTGGCCACCGCAGCCTCGACCTGCTGGGCTCTGGCGATCCTTCCGCCTCAGCCTTCCAAGTAGCTGGAACTACAGGAGCACACTACCACGCCAGGCTGATTTTTGATTTATTGTAGAGATGAGGTCTCGCCTGCCCAGGTGGGTCTCAAACCCACGGGCTCAGGCAATCCACTCACCCTAGCCTCCCAAAGGCGCGGGATTACAGGCTGAGCCACTGAGCCCGGCCAGTGACTGTTCTATTCGAGCAGACAGTGCAATTTCATATTCTTCCTTACACATTAACAATATGTAATTTATTGTCCAGTCTGATATTTGAAGAAGATATGGAAGGATGCATTTGTGATGCCTGAAAACCACTTCGCAACTGATTAATCACATCTCAGTATATAGTCCATCTCTTTATTTGCTTTTTTTGTGCAGTTTGAATGGAAAACTTCAAGGAAACATCTATTTTTGGAACAATTTACGCTGGCATTAGTTTGTCCTGTATAATCATCAGCGATCTCTTCGTGTCCTGTGAGAACTGTGTAAAGTGTATGCACAGAGATTATGTAAATCACCGATTGTTCTAATAAATTTTAGATATGTTGAGATTGGAAAAACTTTATATCTTAAAAAATAAGAATTTTCTATAGATTAATGCTGCCTACAAGTAGAATTTGCTAGATTTACGATGTCCCCTCAGAGGGGACATTTGAGTGCAAAGGGCTACTTTTGTCATTTTTAGTTATGTCTTGTTAATTTTAATGTTCTTAAGTGAAGGTTGTTTTTTTTTTTTGTATTTGCTGGAAGCCAGTGCTATTAAAGTCATTTCACTGTACTCATGAGTTTGAGTATAATAGAGAAGAATCTCTTCTCAGTACCTTCAGCTGGAGTGTGGAAATGCTTATGTAGATCATGACACCTGTTTTAGCAGTTTTTGAAGTGTCATCTGAGGGAAGAAAATGAAGTTCCTTCACCATATTTTTTGTTTCATAAGACTTTAATTGTACCTCATGCTTTATTTTATTTTAGAATCAGAGTCTCATTGTGTCGCCCAGGCTGGAGTGCAGTGGCACACTCACAGCCATTGCAGACTTGACCTGCTGGACTCAGGTTATACTTCGCCTTAGCCTTCCAAGTAGCTGGAACTATAGGCATGTGCCACCATGCCCGGCTAATTTTTTGATTTACTGTAGAGATGAGGTCTTGCCAAAGTTACCCAGGCTGGTCTCGAACCCACAGGCTCAGGCAACCCTCTTACCTCGGCCTCCCAAAGTGCTGGGGTTGTAGGCCTGAGCCACCATGCCTGGCCACCTCGTGCTTTTCAAACGTTATCAGGTGCTTGAAAGCTCCTAACAGCAACTTTCTGAGCTATTGCTTAGGCTTCACAGAGACTCCATGTATACAACATGGTGGAGAAGGTTGTAAGTAATCATGCCTCAGTCAGTTGTCACAAGTTTCACTCTTGTTCTTCTAAGAAAGGTTTTGAACATTTAAGAAATCCTTTTTTTATTCTGCGTAGTCTGCTGTCTTGTGGCATCATGTTGCCTGTTAAACAGGATAAATGGACTTGCAGCTAATTTTTATTCAACTAAAATAAATGTAGACTTTATTTCATTTTCTGTTCTTTCTCAAAAACTAAAGCTCTCCCCAACACCTTTTTTCTTTTAAAGAAAAGTAGCTTGGCAGAGAAGAAGCAGCATAGGATTTGATTCAGTATACTTGCATTTAGCCCTAGATTTGTCAGTAAATACATGTTTGACCTAGACAAGTTAGTTCACCATTTCTGACTTCAACTTTCTCATATTATATCTTCTTCCAACTTTAAAATGCTATTCCTTTTTTTTTTCTCCTGTAGGACAGTCTTGGGGGTAACAGCAAGACTGCTATGGTGGCTACTGTGAGTCCGGCAGCTGATAACTATGATGAAACCCTCTCAACCCTGCGGTACGCAGATCGGGCCAAGCACATTGTTAACCATGCTGTGGTGAACGAGGATCCCAATGCTCGAATCATCCGGGATCTCCGGGAAGAAGTTGAGAAACTCCGAGAGCAGCTCACCAAAGCAGAGGTATGATGCGCAACTGTGCAGCACTCCTTGAATCCAGGGAGAGCTAGTCATGTTAGAACTTGAGTTTTCTTCTCCTTGGCGTTGAGTACTCAGAACTTTTTGAATTTCCTAAAGAAAGAGAAATTTGAGATGCATAATAAATTCAGATGAACAATAAGTTTTGAAATTTAGAGATTTTACTAGATGTTAAAAGGATTAAATAGAGAATAAAGGGAATTGAGAAAATGGTTCCTTCCATTTCTTTCTGCTTCTATTCAGGTAGCAAACAAGAGAGAAGAGGTATAATAGAATAAGGGATAGAAAGAGACATTGGAAGCAAAGTGTATATAATCTAATTTTGATGCAGAAAACTGGAGAGCAGGATTTTTGTTGTAGCTCTCTTTTGTTCCCTGGTAGAAGTCAGAATGAACATCCCGAGGTGTTTCACACCTTAATAATTAAGCAGTTCCATGTTGCGGGTTATCTGTAGAAAAAACTATTTTATAGCAGAAATGCCCATGTGTTTAGTGGTACTCTGTTTCAACTGTCTTCTCTATGTTTTATAATGGACGGTGTTAATGTTCCTATACTGTATTTGAAAACCTGCACAACTCTAACCTACAACCAAGTGCTCATCCTCTTGTAAAAGGGGAATGATCTGGGATTCTTGCTTTAGTTAGCATTTCTCTTGTCACAGTTACCTAGCTCTATGGGACTCTTTCCTGGGGCTTGCTTGCTTTCTCATACCCGTTTTCTGGTAATAAATTAGTAAAATACATTGACAAGACCTTTAGTTTGATTGTATTTTTGCCTATTGTGTTTCATTCTGTTTTTATAGGAATAATTTTACAGTCCATCAAGATTCTTTGAGTTTTGTTTCTGTCTCCTTGATATTAATAACACCATCCAGTTTGCAAAATATACACATTTAGTCTGCATATATATGAGTAAATTCCTGAAGTCATCAGTAAAGGGTAGATATATAGCCCATTGGAATTTTTTAAAAACCCTAATGGCTTTGCATGTATGTGTCCTCAGATGTAATTAGATCTTCACAACAGGTTGGAGGAAAAGGAAAAAGTTGTCTTCCTTTCAGATGTACCTTCAATAACATGTTGAGCTTACGGTCCTCACAGCAGTCTAGGTTCTGGGATCAGTGATGATCCATTGTTATGTTCTAGGTAGATCAGAGACCTCAGCATGTCATACAGCTGAGAGGAGACCGTTTGTTACTTTTGTCCTTTTAGAGTTGGCTATTTTTCCAGGGCATCCTCTAGACATTTCATGAAGTAAACATTTTGCTTGTAGGCAATGAAATCTCCAGAGCTAAAGGACCGGCTGGAAGAATCTGAGAAGCTAATCCAGGAAATGACTGTGACCTGGGAGGAGAAATTAAGGAAAACAGAGGAGATTGCACAGGTTCGTGTTTCCCAGCTGATAAAGAGTGTGAAATCTCATGGCAACGTACACGATGGGACACAAATGTTGTTTCTGGTTCCTTTTTCATTTTCAGCTTTGCTGAGGGCAAATCTAACACTTTTCATAGGAATCTAGATCCAGGAGAGTCTATGCTTTACAAAATTAAATTTGAAGGATAAAAAGCTTATAATTGTAATTGTTTATTATATAATAAGTGATTTTTTTAGTGTCAGTAATTTAAAAAATGTTTAAATGATCTAACTACTTTGTAGCCTCTGTCTCTGACACCCCGTTCTTTTTTTTTTTTTTTTTGAGTTGGATTCTCACTCTGTTGTCTAGGCTGGAGTGGCACACTCATGGCCACCCCAGTGTCGACTTGCTGGGTGCCGGCGATTCTTCTGCCTCAGCCTTCCAAGTGGCCAGAACTACAGGCGCATGCTACCAATCCCGACTAATTTTTTTTTATTTATTGTAGAGACGAGATCTTGCCAAGTTGCCCAGGCTGATCTTGAACCCAGGGGCTTAGGCAGTCCACTTGCCTCGGCCTCCCAAAGTGCTGGGATTACAGGCTGAGCTGCTGAACCTAGCCACCCCGTTCTATTAAATGTATTGGAGACCTAAGGAACTTACTGAAATTACAGAATTACTAGTAGTCAATATTAGACTATGACCTTCTTGCTTCCATATGACAGCTCAGTGAAAGAATATTAGATACCTAAATCTGAGCTATCTCATTGTTTTCTAATAATAATTAATGGAGTTGTAAAATCTTAGGGAGGGAGCATTAGCATTAGTCTAGGAAGATCTAGTCAAGTTTAGCATTGCAAGAAAATGCTAAAAAGCCTGTCTTCTTAATAAGAGATTTACTCTATGGCCTTCCTGTTACATGGTTATCCAGCCTCTGTTTTAGAAATCTGTATATAGTAATGCAGAGGTCAGTATGCCATCTGTCAGTCTTTTCATGATTGGAGAACTGTAATAGTGACTATTTAATCAGGCTTTTATTCTTTCATTTCTACTTATTGGCCCTAGTTTGTTCTGTAGCTAAGGGAGTAAGTGTTCCACCTGTATGCAGTAACCAGTGATGACAATAATAGCTGGCATTTATTGGATATATTTGGTACATTTATGTTTGGGTGCCATGCTAAGCATTTTTAGCTACAGTATTTTATGGGCTCCTCTCAGTAGCCTTACAAGATGGGAACTACTGTTACTCAACTCAGTTGTTCAGCCATTTAAAGTCCTCTCTCTACCTCTTCCTCTTCCTTTTCTAAGTTAAAATTCCCTCATGTTTTAACTGTTCCTTGTATCAGAGAAGATGTAGAACTTACTGCATCTTTCACCGCCAATAGACTCCATCTTTAAGTATGCTGTCCAGAACCAACTTACAGGTCTGATATTGTAGGATGGTGCTACTATCACTTAGCATAAAGTGGATGTTTTATTTATATTAGTGCAGACTAGGATTTCATTAGATTTTAAAAACATTTTATTATAGACATTTTCAAAATAGATACAAATTAGAGAAGAGTACAATAAATTCACAGATAACCATTTCCTGGTTTCATTAAAGATTCATATATGGCTGGTGTGGTGGCTTATGCCTCTAATCCCAGCACTTTGGGAGGCAGAGTTGAGAGGATTGCTTGGTCCCAGGGGTTTGAAACCAGCCTGGGCAACTTGGTGAGACCTCATCTCTACAGTAAATAAAAAAATTAGCTGGGCGTGTTCACATGCTCCTATAGTTCCAGCTACTTGGAAGGCTGAGGCGGAAGGATCACCTGAGCTCAGCAGGTCTAGACTGCGGTAACCATGAGTGTACCACTGCACTCCAGCCTGGGTGACAGAGTGAGACTGAATTAAAAAAAAAAATACAGGCACTATTGTTGTATCTGTATCACTGTGTTAGAGTATCTTAAAACATATTTCCCAGATTATAGAGAAGAGAGCACATCAGTGTGTAGACTAGTTCCCATTACATATCTCACTTTGTCTATTATATAGTATAAGTCATTCTAATGATTGTCCAATCTGGAACTACTCTGTGTATTTCGAGCTACTCCTTAAGGAAACATTGGTTGTAAAGTGCAACTGTGCTGACATGAAGCAGGGTTGGTCTAAGAGATGTTGCAGTGCTGGGAGCTTAGTTTTGGCAGCTTTCCTCTCTTGTTCTCGCTGGTATCCCTTTAGAAGATGCTGCCTGGTTTATCCATCATCACCTCCTATAATCCTTATCTTCCCAAGTCCCCAGACTTTAGTGTTGCTGAAGGATTTTTCTCTCTCACTGAAAAAACCTTATTTCTAGATTACTTGCCTCTTCCTAATCCAGACTGACTGACTTCCAAAATGTGTTTCTGACTTTATGGCCACAAAGTGTTAGTAAGTTTTCTGGGGGAATATAGTTGATGGTCAGATACATTTAAGACAGCCTGGGTAAACTGAGTTCAATTAGTTTATTTTTTGAAGGACTTCTCACATCATTTTTGGACTCTCGATAGGTCTTCTGTACTCCGTGGCATCTTTCTGTAGTGTGCCAGCCCTCACGCTGCCCTGCCATAGAGTTCCCTGCAGCCTGTCTGCACCCTTTAACCCTTCAGCCATGCAATGCTTTATTGCAGTTTAATTGTCCATGTATAGTTTTAGTCCCCAGTGACTTCGTAATATTCTCAAGAAAAAACAGACTAGTGTTTTTAGATGTATGCTCAACAATATTTTTGAATAAACAAACTGAACTCAAGATGACTGTTTTGTAATTTCAGTTCCATCTCTACTATGTTAAATTGTCTGTTTTTTTCCTCTTTTGTGTTGTCATTAAGAGATGCACACTTACATGAAATCAGAACTTTGAGATAGATCAGGGATCAGCAGATACTGTTCCTTGGCTACCCTCAGTCCACCATTTGTTTTTGTAAATGAATTTTTTTGAGAGTACTACTATGCTCATTTGTGTCTATTATCTATGGCTTCAATACCAGAGCTAAATATTTAAGACAAAGACTACGTGGCCCACAAAGGCTACCTGAAATTTTTTATATTTACTTCCTGACAATTTTTTAGAAAAAGTTAACCCACATAGAAGCATTATTTGATGATATCAGTAAGCATTTTGTGTGTGTGTGTGTGTGTGTGTGTGTGTGTGTGTGTATTTCAATTTTTGTTTATTTTTTTGAGTCGGGGTTTCACTCTGTTGCCCAAGCTGGAGTGCAGTGGCACAATCACAGTTCACTGTAGCCTCGACCACCCGGGCTCAGACGATCCTTCTGCCTCAGCCTCCTGAGTAGCTGGGACTACAGGTGTGCACTACCACACCCAGCTAATTTTTAAAATTTTTTTGTAGAGATGAGATCCCACTCTGTTGCCTAGGCTGATCTCGAACTCCTGGGCTCAAACAATCCTCCTGCCTTGGTCGCCTAGCTTGCTGGGATTCCAGGCATGAGCCACCATTCCCAGTCTATATAACTATGTTTGATTATACAATACTTTTTTTAAATAAGCTGATTCCTAGATGTTGCCAACATTTGTAATTTTTTAGATGATTAAATACTATAGGGTTTTTGGTGGCATATTTTAAAATGAATTGACGGTTTTTCACCATTATGTATTTTTTTGGCTTAGACAAAAATTTTGTGGTGCTTTTATCATTATAAAAATACAAGTGACAGAAAAATATATAGAGAAGTAGGATAAAACAATAGTTTACTAATAGTGATAACTTACAGAAAGGCATATTAGAATTATTTTTCTCATTTTATGAACATGGTTCCTTTTTTTTTTGGAGTTGGAGTCTCACTCCATTGCCCAGGCTGGAGTGCAGTGGCACGCTCATGGCCACTGCAGCTTCAACCTGCTGGACTCAGGTGATTCTTCTGCTTCAGCCTTCCAAGTAGCTGAAACTACAGGCATACGCCACCATGCCTGGCTAATTTTTCTTCACTTATTGTAGAGATGAAGTCTCCGACCCCTGGGCTCAGGCAATCCTCTTGCCTTGGCTTCCAAAGTGCTGCGATTACAGGCATGAGCCACTGCTCCCAACTGGACATGATTTAAAAAAAAATTTTTTTTCTCAAGTACGATCACTTCTTCAATTTACATGCAGAAAACTCTAATGTCCAGTGTTAAACTACTCAGAACTTCTGAAAGAACTCTGTAGTTTTTTTTTTTTCTTAGAAGAGACACTTGATTCAAAGACCCAGGCCCAAAAGACCCCCTTTCTAATTTGGTAATAGTGTACTTCTAGTCTGGATGTGTTGACTAAATTGCAGCGACCATATAAATTAGGATGGTATGCCTAGAAATGCCAACATTCTGAAGGTTTATTTTCATTATACTGCAAACTTACTATATGGCCCTAACTGAATGACTTAGTTCGTCCTTTTCCCAGAATCAAAGGACCTAGGTGACTTTGACTCATTATCAGTTGCTAGATTCATGTGTATCCTCTTATGTATATGAGTTTGTGTATTGTATGAGTTCAGAGGCAGGTAGGCACAAAAAAGGAAAGGCTTGGATTCTTACTGAAGTACTTAAGTATTTGACTTTTTGATAAATTCTAAGCACTAATGTTTTGAGTGCTCATTAAATGTCCTATACTGTGCTAGGTGCTAGGAACACAACAGTGAATAAGACAGGAGCCATGCCCACACAGTTCACAGTCTGTGGTGAGAGAAATAGTTACATAAACAGTTACCAAGTAGGAGAGCTGGTCTACTCCAGATAGAAGGAAGAGGTGAAAAAATCCTATAAGCTAAAGAGAGCAAAGAGAATATCAGTGACCTTTTCTGGGACCTATAACGTGTCCCATGGTACTGCAGTGCAGGGCTTGACAGTAGGAGTGATAAGACATGAAGCTAGAGAGGAAAGAGGCCAGGTCGGAGATGCTTGTAAACTTCATTGGTGTAGTTTGGCCTTGATTCTGGCTGGGAGAGTCACTGAAGATGACAAACAGGAGAATATATTGGAAGTTTTGCTTTTAAGAGGGATCACAATTGAGTAAAGTGCATGCACATTTGCTTATGTATACAGAGTTAAATGAGATTAATTCAAGAGGTTAGATGTTTTTAAGAAGAAAAAATGAGAGCATGCTAGTATACTTGGTTGTTATTTGTAATGGGCTTTATTTTTCAAAATAAAGAAAATTTGATTGAACAAAATAAAACAATTTTCTATATAGGAAGTGCCCAACATACGAGTGGATTTCATTCTAAGAGCATGTTTGTAGATCCAATTTGTTTTAAGTCCAAAAAGTTAGCTGAGGTACCCAACTAACTAATCTACTATATAGTACTGTATACATTTAACAGGCTATACTGACACTTGGTAGAGAGAGATAATATGTAAAAAACTGCAAGTGTGTACCCGTAAATTTCATAACGTGGAGGTTCATATGTAGGGGACATACTGTAGTTTGGAAATAAGAGAAAAATGCAGTAATCTATAATGCCATATCCTAAGATAATGTATTTGAATTACAAAGCTATTGAATAATTCTAATGTTGTAAGGTCTTTTATATCTCACTGCCTTAACAGCTGTGGAATTAATATTTCTCTGATACATTTACAGGAGCGGCAGAAACAGCTTGAGAGTCTTGGAATATCTCTTCAGTCTTCAGGAATCAAAGTTGGAGATGATAAATGCTTCCTTGTTAATCTGAATGCTGATCCTGCACTGAATGAACTTCTGGTCTACTATTTAAAGGTGAAGTAAAATGCTTTGTGCTGATTTCCTGCCACAAAATAGAATAATATTTCATAGTACTTTATTCAATTAAGGAATGATGCTTATTCAAAAAGCAGAGTTTTTATTTGAAAAAATTGTTTTTATTTGAATAAACTGACTGTAGAACAATGTTGGGTTTTTGGGTTCAGATTCCTTTTTAAATCTTTGAGTGATGTAATTAACCTAGTAATAAAAAATGATATTGTGATATTATTTCCAGCAAGTTAAATAGCTTACTTACTCCAAAAAGTTAAATAGCCTGCCTACCATTATTTGAGGTGATGTATACCAGGGAATTAAGTAGATAACTTTGACGCTTTAAAGGTTGGCTTTAAAGACTAAAGGACTCATTTAGTCAGTAGACTGAAGCTTTCGTGTTTTCTGTGAAGCACATCTTTTTGTGAGCAGTTTGTTAGTTTACGAGAGGAAATATTTAAAGAAAGTTATGTTCTTAGGACCACTTGATATGAAATTTATGTTTTCAGTAACTCTTGGGAAAATTTAAAAATTTGAATTATCAACCTATATAAAAGAGAGAGTAGGCTATTTAGAAACTGAGGGGATCAGAGCAAGAACAGAAAAAGACAAATATTGGTAAATGTTGAAATCTATAAATCATGGGACATATTAGAAAGATGAGAGACAACTTTAGAATGAGCATGAACCCTGAGATACCACGTACATTCAGAGGAGAGCTCCCAAATTGCCTATATCAAACCCGGAGCATGATTGCTTATGGAATGGGCTACATGACTGTAACATAGGGTTAATAAATATTAAGACACAGTGTCCCCCCCCATATACGACTTTAACTAATGTGGCTAGGGAAGTAAAGCTATGAGCCTATTAAGTTGGAAACAGCTTCAGCATTAGAGGATTATGTGAATTTCATTTCTAAAAGGATTCAAGAATTCAGTGACACACTAGCTAGTTTTCCAAAGACATCCTGAAATAGTTGCTTTGTGTCGTTTTTGTAAGGCTCCTATGTTAATAAGTATCTTGAGCTGTGTTTCGTCTTGCTGTGAGTTGTGTCTTTGATACATACTATGATGTGTGTGTTTCTCAGGTGTTGAGGTACAGTGGTAGCAGCTCTGGAGTAGGAGGGGAGGTGACATGTGTTTTCAGACCGTGGACAAGCCCTTTGTCCCCTCCAATCTGCAGGTTCTTCTGTCAATGGATGGAATTATCTCTGGCCACCTTGTTGGGTTCTTGTAAGGATTAGACATATGGAAGCACTTTATAAACAGAAGCACTGTGCAAATATAAAATATTCCACATTTGACTTTCTCATTGATACTCTATATGGTACCTTATACACGTTATCTTTGTCCATGAAGAAATATGTATTATCATGTCACTTATTGTGTTTCTGAACAGTATTGACAACGTTTTGATTTAGAATGTCAGCCATAGATATTCATACACTTTAGGAGAGATGTGATGTTAGAATAGGACTTAAATATTCTGTCCTTTTTATTTCACAAAACTAGGAATTTTCGTTCTTTCTGATGTAATGTAGTTCAAGTTGGAACAGACACCCCCTCCCAAAAAAAAACCCAACTCTGATTCATATCTGATATCTGTTCCTTGACTAACAGAGAAACTGTTTAAAGATTTTTGGAGAGTAGTCAGAATATTTCTGGTCCTCTTGTGAGGAGGTGTTTGGATTCTGTTTCAGGCTGTGTGGTCAACCCTGTTTTGGCAGAGTTTGAAGCAGTGTTGATTTCTTGACTGCCCAAGCTAACCCCACAACAAGAATATATTCATGACAAAGCACATTCAAAAGTATGATCTCAGTCCAAGAACAATTTTTGCTTCAGTAAAGTGATACCATGATGTAGGATGGTGGAATTTGGAGGCTGAGCTTTTTTTCCCCTTTGTCTTCAAATTCTCAAGTCAATGTAGATGCTGCGAAGATGACTTTACATCTCTGGATGACTTTAGCCATCCCATCTTTAAATGAGGCACTGGATTAAAACATCTCTAAAATTCTTCCTGATTCCAAGTTGTATGGTTCTCTTACTCTTCCAGAACTCAACCCCCTTCTGTTTATCCTGGAATACTTTATACTAGCATACTTTAGAATTATTATACTCATCTATCACATAGAGACTGAGGTGCTGTCCATGATTAGCTTTATTTTGATTACCTGGGAAAGTTAAGGGAAATGATTGTTTGTTTTTCTTTTATGTTTGTTTAATGCCTTCAAGTGCCAGGCCTGTGTAAAGTGCTTGGAATACAGCGGGGAGCAAGCCAGGCTGTTCTCTGCATTCATGGCATTTCTGTGCTGGTTGTGGAGATGGATAGTATGGGTCTCATGGAAGGAGTTAAGATAGGGTAGAATGTCAGTGATTGGGTGGCTGTTTCTGATCGTCAGTTCAGGAAACACTTCTCTGAGAAGGTGACATTAAAAGCTGAGATAGAAATGATAAGAAACAACTATTATCAGCATCAGTGGAAGAATATTTCAGACAGAGGAAACATCCAATGGAAGGCTGTGGGTTGGAAATAAGCTCAGTGTACTCAAAGAACAGATGAAAGGCTGATGTGGATGGTGCATGCTCCATGATGGGGAGTTGGTAGGAGTGAGGGTCAGAGAGAGAGGCAGGGGCAGGTCATGGAGGGCTTGTAAGCCTGGGTAAGCATTTTGGGCTTCATTCGAAGTTCAAAGGGAAGCCATTCCAAGGGCTTAAATAGGGGATCACATGATCAGCTGTTGCATTGGGAGTAGATGGGGGTGGCATATATGTAGAGACATGATAGGAAGTTCCTGCTTTTACCCAAACCAGAGATCTTGGAGGCTGAACCAGGATGTGGTAGCAGAGGTGGGAAAAATGGGCAGATTCTTGTTATGTTTTGGAGGTAGACTCTGTAAAGTTTTCCTGACTGACATGGGGATGGGGGTGGGGGTGGGCTCATAGGGGAAAGAAAGAGGATTCAGGATAATGTCTAAACTTTTTTAGCTGACTGACTGGTGGTTGTAATGCCATTGTTATCGGGGAAGAGAATAGACTTCTTTTGGATCTGGGGAGATGGGAGCAGGAGTTCAGCTTTAGTCCTTGCTCACTTTGACTTATCCTCAGGACGTCCAAGTTGTGTCAAGTAGGCTGAGTAGGCAAAAAATGATGGTGACTGAAACCGAAATAGTGGTAGTGGAAGTCTGTAGTTCCTGGTTGGTGGTAAAGGTTGAGTTTATATGTGGACAGTATGTAAAGCCATGGGAGTGGTTGAACTCCTCTAGGCTAGGGGTCAGAAACTACTTTTCGCAGACCAAGTCTAGTTCCCTTCCTGTTTTTGTATGACCCAGGATCTAAGGATTATCTTTACATTTTTACATGGCTTGTACATTTTTCACTGTCTACAGCTGTCTACACATGGTTGAACAAAAATATTTCAGACACATGAAAGCGAAATTCAAATTTTGGTGCTCATAAATAAAATTTTATTGGAATGTAGCCACACTTACTCATTTATGTATTCTCTGCTTTTGCACTACAGGGGCAGGGTTGAGTAGTTGTATATGACTCACAAAACCTAAAATATTTACTATCTGGCCCCTGATCTAGATGTGTAGAAAGAGCAGGTGGCCTAGGAACACATACCAGTTCATACTGACATTTACTCATATACAGGCAACCAGATATTGAGATGAATAAGAAAGAGCTCAGTTTTTTGTTTTTTGGGTTTTTTTTTTGGAGTTAGGAGTCACTCTGTTGCCCAGGCAGGAATGCAGTGGTCCGGTCACGGCTACTGCAGCCTTGAGCTGCTTGGCTCAGGCAATCTTTCAGCTTCAGCCTTCCAGAGCTCAATTTTTATGATGCCAATTTTCTTCATTAGGGATAGGTGAGTTACCTGCCAAAAACATGGGACTTAGGGATTGAGTAGTTAGGGGTCTAAGGTAAGAACATATCTATTACATTTTTTATGAGGTTAGTGGACACCATGAGATTCATAAAATAACTTGTCTTTTCATATTCTTACACTTGAATAGCTCTTGTCTTTGTGGTTGACTCATTTTGATTGAGACCAGGTAGGTGATGCACAAATTAAGAAAATGCAGCTTGCAGACCCATATTTTTTGGTCCATCATTGACACGTGGTCCATGCTCTGAGAGTAGTATAAAATATTTGGAATTAAGATTGTGATGAAAAATAATGAATATATATAGATATGAATATGAAATTATAGCCTTAAGTTTAAAAGGTATAACTCAACTGAGGGTTTATTCCTTAGAAGGAACTTTAAGTTATAGAATGGTTTCAGGGAAAACCAGGGATTCCCCCTGGTTGGATTCTCACTCCATCGCCCAGGCAGAAGTGCAGTAGCACACTCATGGCCACCCCAGCATTGACCTGCTGGGCTCTGGTGATCCTTCCGCCTCATCCTTCCAAGTGGAACTACAGGAGCATGCTACCAAGCCTGGCTAGTTTTTGGTTTATTGTAGAGATGAGGTCTCACCAAGTTACCCAGACTGGTCTTGAACCTGTGGGCTCAGGCAGCCCACTCACCTCGGATTTCCAAAGTGCTGGGATGACAGGCAGAGCCACCGAGCCTGGCCTCCATTTGCTTTTTAAAAAGTCTTTTAGCTAAGGTAATAGATCAATGTAAGAGTGTTCAGTGTACATTATTTTAGTTTGTATACATGTAAGAATTCAACATTAATCAGTGAATTTGATTCTTTCTTAGGAACATACATTGATAGGGTCAGCAAATTCCCAAGATATCCAACTGTGTGGAATGGGGATTCTTCCTGAACACTGTATTATAGACATCACATCCGAAGGCCAGGTTATGCTGACTCCTCACAAGAATACCAGGTAACGTACTTGAATTAATGTTCATGTCAGTAGTTTTTAAGAGGTAGGCAATACTCTAGTGGTGAGCAGTATAAGGGACATTTGGCCTTCGTTTGCTTTTATTTTTAAGTTCATTTAGTTAAGATATTCAGCTAGTTATCAAGCCCCTTGTAGTTAACTTTAACATTTTTCCCACACCCATTCCTTCCTGTCTATACCTCTACCATGGCATCATGCAGGCCCTCATCAACTCTTGATTAGAACCCCTACCAACCAACACCCTAAGCTGCTTACGAGTATTGTCAAAATGTGACACAGGTGTGAAGTGAGCACATGCTGTTGGAAGATGGCATCCATAGACTTGCCCAACACAGGAGAGCTACAAGCCCTTCAATTTGTTAAAGAACACAGTATCTGCAAAGTGCAGCAAAGCAAAACACAGTAATGTGAGGTATGCTTGCACTTAGTACCATACACCTTTTAGGTAAATTAGCAGAGGAGTAAATATGAATATTAAAATTCACCAAGGGCAGATTTTATTTTGGGGAATGTTTTATTTTCCATAGTAAATAATTCCATAGTACTGAAAAGTTAAAACAAAAGACATGATACTGTAATGTCATTCACGTTTGATCTCTTTTCCCTGCAGAACATTTGTAAATGGGTCTTCTGTCTTCAGTCCAATACAGCTACACCATGGTGACAGAATATTATGGGGAAATAACCATTTCTTCAGGTATGACATTGTTCATGTTCCTTAAAGTGGGAGATTATTGAAGATTATGCTCTGACATAGAAAATCTATATTAAAAAGTAAACCTAACTCTATAAAAATTATGCATTATTTTATATATATACACACACACACACACTATATATATATATGCTACATGTATATTATGTATGTATGTGTTTGTGTTAGTTCACTATATATGTGTGGTCTAAACCCTGGGCACATATGAACATACACAGGAAAAGTACTAAGTCTTACATTTTTTTTCTTTTTGTTTTCCAGTGGAAAATGTTTGTTTCCATCTGGTAAAAGAATTCATTTTTTGGTGACATGTTTATCCTTTTATTTGCTTATTTTTTACTGAAAA